TTTGACCTGATGTCCTCAATGGTCACCTTCAGTTCCAGATTTTTCTGAACTGGAATTAATTCTTGGACTGACACAGGATAGCCATACATGTATATTAGTTACAGTGGACTCTAAAATGCAAATGCCATGCAGTAAAATTGGAATGAAGGCATGTAACTATGAAGGTGCTGTGGGTGGAGGTTGGAAGTATGCTGGACAACCGGAAATCCACCAAGGTAGCTAAGAAGACCTAAGACAACGTTTATTGAGAAGGTATCCTATGTGAGCTCCAAAACTGTGAAATAAAGCTAAATATAAGAGATGAGAGCATGGCTGCATCCATCAGATTACAAGATGGTCTCCTTTGATCAGGAGAAGTGACTTTCTAGGGCTTCCGATTTATGCATTTATTTGTAAGAATTATATCCTATCTTTCCTCTAGGATCTCAAGGTGACAGATGTAGCGCTTCCTTTTGAGAATAATTGGCCAGAATTCACCCTCTGAGCTTTCATGGTTAAAGCTGGATTTGAACTTGGGTCTCCCCAGTCTAGCAGCTTAACACATACTGGCTCAAGATAGGACTGCAAGAACATAAGACTTTCCATATACAATTTGTGTGTTTTCCCAATGTGCATATCTTCCCCAAAAACATATGACACGTTTAGATCTATTTATTTGGTTTTTATCCAAGCTCTATTATTTTATAAGTAACTCAAGGCAGCAGACATAATACTTCCTACTCCTATTTTCCCCACAACAACAACCCTATGAGGTGGGTTGGGATGAGAGAGTGTGACTGGCCTAAAGTCACCCGGGTAGCTTGCATGCCTAAGGCAGGACTAGAACTCACACTCTCCAGATTTCTAGGTCAACATCCGAATCACTGCACTAAACTGATGCTGATGGACAAACGAAGATTCACTATGTGCTAAATAGGCATCTGTGTGGCAATGTAGATTAGAGCGCAATCTGCTGAAAATGCTGTCTTTAAAACAATGGGCAACTCTGGGCAGAGCAATGCCTATTCGTGCAATCAAATTTTCACATGAAAATTTTCTAGATGCCGCCTTTTGTATCAAAGATATAATAACAGAAAGAAACACTGGCAGTTCCAGAATCTAAAAAAAAGCTGGACTTTCCCTTGCCCTGAGTCTGATTAGGATATTTTCTCTTCTCTGAATAAGAAAGTGGAGAAAATAACAAATGCCCTGAATAGTAATGATCACATTTCAGCTATTCTTTATTAAGAAACCATGTTTAATACATGAATTGGAGTAGGTCTGAAGGCTGGGCTTCACGGGCCAAATTAAATTCCTTTGGAAGCCCTGCTCTGTGTAGATGGGAATATTAAACCCAGGCAAAGTGGAAGGCCTTGCTTGGGTACAATTCTACTTGCATGGTATATTTATAACTAGATTAGATTGCAGGATGACCCTTATTATCTGAGGGACAAAATACAAGCAGTTCACATCTCTTACCTGCATGTTAGAGGGATGTCAAACAGCAGATATTGAACAGAAGGCCACCAATTTCTACACCTCACGGGGAGAACATCCCAGCTTGAGCTGCATGCAAATGCCAATTTATTACTTAATTCTGAGCCTAAAGAACTCACTTCTCTCCATTCCTTTTCCTCTTTAGCTTCTTGTGCCTTTTTCATGCATGCATGTCGTAACTTTTTTGTTTAGAAGCCTGAGACAGGCCTGTATTCCACTCTCTTTTTATCTTTCTATCTATCTATCTATCTATCTATCTATCTATCTATCTATCTATCTATCATCTATCCATCCATCCATCCATCCACTTTTGATGTGCATTTCTTAAGGAGTTAAAAATGCAGCACACAAAGTGAATGAAAACTGTAAAACCAAGGGAAAAGAGTAGTTCTAGACTAGAGCAAATGGTTGGTCACCGATCTATTTTTGTTTTGTTTTGGGGATTATTTTTTATGGGAGGAGAGAAATGACTCAACTTTAACCAACTTGTGGGTTGCTATCGTCTTGACCCATCTACCGTGTCAAATAAGACCGTGTCTTATATTTTTTTTGAATCCTGAAATAAGCGCTTGCCCTTACTGCCATGCGCTCAAAAGCCCGATTGGGCTTATTATCAGGGGATGTCTTGTTTTGGTGGAAACAGGGTACTTGTAATAGGAGCTAAGCTAACCACATCCTGAAGACTCAAAAAAGTGCTCCTGGGCTTGATAGCTATTTGTACCTTTTTCCCGGGCAGCAGATTGCCCAATGTACTATATGGGAATGAGCAAAATCTGATATCGCTATCGTTCAAGAGAGCACAGAAGCGGCATCAAGAGACACTTTGAATCAAAGGTTCATGGCCACAGAGTTAGATCACGTCTCCTTTCCCAGGTTCTTCTCTACCCAAAGCAATCTTGGAGAGCAACTACCTTTGCCCTCAGCTCTAATTACTTTCTTTTACTCCCACCCTGTCCCTAATTTTGAGCAATGCATGGGCCATACACATCAAGAAGAATGTTCCAGCATGCGCCAATGTGATCTGGTGCTTTAGAACATGCTCTCTTGTGTGAGTGGTTATTGTCAATGGTAAGACGCCAACGGCCCTTTTAGGAAACACAAGAAAAAAAATGGGGAGGGAGGAGAAGAATAATTTCAATCTTTCAGATTCCTAGTTTTGGCAAACCTGCAAAGTTTGAATTTGAAGTAAACATTTTCTCAATGTATCTTTCCAGGGGCAGACTTTTTCCACTATAAACTTATCTTTGTATCGATCTGCTGCGGCAAGAGTTTAGCACAGCTTTTGAGTAGCATAATCAAAAATTCATATTTGTTCCTATTGTATATTAAACTTTCTGCATTTTTTGAAAAAAAAAACTGGATGCTTTCAGATTTTGACTGTGGGGCAGAATCAGAACTAACAGTTTTTTTAAAGGTGTTGGAAGCTGCTATAGGAAATGGCAGGTTTTAAAAAAAAGATACAGAATGGGAAATATATATATATAAATTGATTGTGAGAGATTAATGGAAACTTTCTTTATATCACATAGTTTTTTCCAGGGTTCTTCCTCCTCTCCCCAGAAAACAGTCAACCTGTGAAGATGCCTGCTTTGACTATACAATTTATAGTATCGTTTTATGCAATTATTGTAGCTTCTAAACGTGGTAAATTGGGCTTACATGCACGTATGTATAAAACTACTGCCTTCGTTCTTTAATGTCATATATTTGTTATGGTCTCTGTTCGGTTGCACACCATATATGCCTTTTACCATGTTGTGCATCATCTTGCAATTTATCGGCACCCATGCAGGGATACCTGCATAATTTTCACTCTACTGACTGTAGAATTTTTATTTGTGGCACTGGAGATTTCAGAATACGATTACCTTTCAGGATAGGAATCTCCTAGGCAGTGACAAGTTGAAAGGCCTGTCCTGTGAAAACCACTTCCTTCAAAAAGGCAACTGAAAGCTAAGGTAGGTTTAAAATCCTTGATCCTGCAAGGAAACGGAGCAGGAATTTGTATGTTGCTTCAGGCAACAAAATGTCCTGAGACTGGCAATTTCATCAGAAGCAGAAAAATGGTGAGTATTTAGGTAGTCCTGATCTAAAGTCATTGATGCTTCTAAGTTGTGTCGATCCATGTTAATCCATGTTAAATGCTTGGGCAACCAAAACAAAAGAGTTCTATTGGTTCCTTAGGTCTGTCTGTCTGTCTATCTGTCTGTCTCTATATCTATGTCTATGTGTAAGTCAGTGCCTATGTATTATTTGAAATGAATAACAGATCCCTCTTTCTTTACATCAAACCAACAAGCCCCGCTATTTCTAATGCACAGTGTTTCTGGATCACAAGAAAGACTCCACTGCAGGAAAGCTGTCGTTTGATCAACCTGTACTCCTTATCAGTATATCGAAACAACAGTGGATTTTCTCCCAGAAAAACAACAGGAAGAACAAATGGGTAAAAAGACTATACCTTTACATAAACGACGTGTGAAAGATATAGTGATAGATAGCAATTTGAAGGGGACTTGGATGAATGTAGATTTTTTTTAGAAATGAGCATTGCAGCCTTTTGTGCATAAAAATGCTCCCTAGAAAGACTATATAAATGATAAAGCATTCAAAGAGGAACCCCTTTCGTGCCCGCTACTTTCCTCTAAAAGTAAGTCTAAGCAGATCAAATAAAAATGTAGGTAAATTGGCAGAGACCTAAGAGCAAAGCTTTTTTTCCCCCCTCCCCTCCCTTAGACCGTGATCAGTTTTGATGCTGTGATTCAAGAACAGTTCGACTAAAGGACATGTTCAGATCACATCCAACAAAACTGGGCCTTTAAAAGAAACGAAAAAGAAATTGGTGGATATGTTCACGCTATGCAATTGTGTCATGTTCTTTCTGAAGTCATTCCCACTGAATTCAATAGGGCTTGCGTTCAAAAACATTTGCTTAGGGCTGCAATGCTTGGAGCTTTGCCCAAAGGCTTAAAAATAGACATTTTCAGACTGGAAACTCACGATAATAGGTTCTTTTGTTTGGGGGAGATGTCAGGGAGAGAGAGTGCTGTTTGCCTTTGGTTTGGGGTCTCTAATATCCAACCTGTTGCCTTCGCCTGAGAAGAAGGTTACGCTGACAGGTGATGGTGGAACAACAGTGAAAGCAGAATCTCCAGAGATAACACTTTCGGTGCTCTCTTTCCAAAAAAGCCAATTGTCTGTCTGTTGCAGCCCAACGTTGCCAGGATCTCAAGTCAATCTGGAGATCAGGTCTTTGGATCTGGAAACGCTTATTCCCTAAATTCAGCTGTGGGGCAGTTGGCTGAGTTGTTCCCTGGTGGTGGAAAGACACTCTGCACATGGTCAAAGTTGCTCTCTTTGGGGGGGTTAAATGGTGAAGTGCTACATCCCAATTCTGAAACCAGAAAGAGGCGCTTTGTCCTCTCCCACCACTGAGTTTCTTCTCCAGGGAAGTTGTAATGCTGGCAGAGAACAAGAGGCAGCTGGGGAGAAAAAAAAAGAGTGGGACGCAAGAGGGAACATACCTGTTGTTGGACCTCAGTGGGATGCCGACATGGACCAGGCCCCTTCCATCCTCCAAACAGAGAAGGCATAGCTGAGCCTCTCGTGGGCCAGGTAGTTGCAGCTGGAGATCTTGTGGTCAAGCTCATCACTCTGCAGGACCTGGTAGAGGAAGTCGATGTAGCGGGCAGCCAGCTTGAGGGTCTGGATCTTGCTGAGTTTGTCCGAAGGCAGGGTAGGGATGATCTTGCGCAGCTCAGCAAAGGCGTCGTTGAGCGACTGGGTGCGCTGACGCTCCCGCACATTGGCGATCACCCGCTGCGTGTGCATGTCCTCAAAAGTCTGGGACACGGGGCTGCGCTTGCTGCGCTTCCCCTGTGGCAAAGGGCTGCTGCTGTACTCTGGAGGGGCTGAAGTCAAGGGTTTACCCAGCTGGCTCCTCTTCCGAAGACTCTTCTTGGGCATCTTCTCGCTTTCCTCCTCGCTGGTTCCCATGCTGCCCTCCGGTGAGTCTGGGCACATGCTTTCCTCTTTCATCCTCTCCAAGTTGGCCTCCCTTTCCCTTCCGCGCACAGGATGAGGAGCTGGACCTTGCAGGCCACGGTGCATATAAGCCAACCAGGTTGAGCAAACTCCAGGACAAGGATCCCCAAGAGCCGAGATCTGGAAGGCTTCAAACGTTTTTTTGTGACTCCAACCTTCACTGATCTGGTTATTCACCTTCCTTTCCCCCCTCCTTTAGGGCTTAAAGAGAGGAGGGACATTGTTAAAAGTCTCTTAAAGCCCTTTACGGATAGGGTAGGGAGTTTGAGGGGAGGGGCTGTGTGCAGACCAATACAACCGTGCACAATAATGCAAACATCAAGGGAGCTTATGGGTTCCAGATTGCCTTCCCTTCTTTTTTTTTCCCTCGGCATTCTCTCTTCTCCAAACCGCCCCCTCCCCTTCCTTCAGCTCTGAGACACAGATGCTCCAACCGGCCGCCTGGATGCCAGAGGTCATTCCCTTCATCGGTTGTAATTGACAGGGAACCACCGGCTTGACCCCACCCCACCCGCAACTCTGCCCTGAAGAGTGCAGAGCGGCTCTTCCTGCAAGGCTGATCCGTAGTCAACGGTGCCATTTCCACTTCTGGGTAGGCTGCTTGCCTGCTCGTTGCTTCGAAGAAGTTCTCACTTTGGACTCGGAGAATTCAGCTCTCTCTCTCTCAAGTGAGCTGACCTCTGTTTGAGAAGCTGCATCTCAGCATTTGAATTAAACAGAAGGCTTTTTAAAAAGGGCTCTTTTTATACAGAAGGCTTTTTTTTGGCCCTGACCCTATGTGCCTGTTTGCTATTACTGTATAGCGCTCGCTTGCTCCCTACTCTAGGTGAAAGAAGCATGTGATAATCATACGCAGGTAGTCCTTGACGTACAACCGTTCGATTAGTGACCGTTCAAAGTTACAACAGCACTAAAAAGCGACTTACAGCTAGTCCTCACACTTGCAACCGTCGCAGCATTCCCCACAGTCACATGATCAAAATTTGGGTTCTTGGCAACTGGCATTACAATGGTTGCTGTATCCTGGGGTCATGTGATCACCATTTGCAACCTTCCCAGCTGGCTTCCGACAAGCAAAGTCAATGGGGGAAGGCGGATTCACTAAACTAACAGCCCCCAACCTTTCGGGCACCAGGGACCGATTCCATGGAGAGAGGTTTTTCCGTGGTCTGGGGGGGGCGTAGTTTCGCATGCTGCCTGCATCCTGCAGGTGGGGCTTCGCTTGTTTGCGTGGACCGGTTTTGGCATACCGTGAACTGCTGCTGGTTCACAGACCGGGTCTTGGGAACCTCTGCACTAAACAACTGCATGATTCACATATGATTCAGTTATGATTCACAACTTTTTTTATTATGGTAGCCCCATAGGGAGATCAGTGGCAAATAAAGTTAACAAATAAATAAAAATAAATAAACAAAGCCAGTGATTTGTTTAACAATCGTGGCAAAAAAGACTGTAAAACTGGGCATGACTCGCTTAACAAGTGTCTTGCTTAAGAACAGAAATTCTGGTCTTAATTGTAGTCGTAAGACTGTCTGTAGCACAGTCCCCTGTGGTTACTTTAAAGTAAGCTCACTGAATTCAATAGGACTTACTCACAAGTAATATGTAGCCTAATAGACTTAACCAGTTAATATTTTAGTGATGAGCCTTACTTTTGAGGAGTCTTTCTCAGGCTTCCCTTCCCTTCTAATGCATAGACAGTATGGCCAAAAGCCCAGTTAATTATGGGATATGTAGTTCAAAATATTGGGAAGGCACACAGCTGGGGATGGATGGTGATTGTAGCTATGTTTTGTATGGTTATTAGAATCATCCGTTTTAAAAATCATCTGTTTTAAAATAACTTTTTTTTGCAAAAAATAAAATAAAATAAAGAACGATAGGATCGCACAATCTATAATATGCAAGGCGGCTAGGTTGAAGATATTTGAAGATTGTGCAAATATATTTTCTGCTTCCAAGAAGAAGAAAATAAAGAAGCAATAGTCCCAATAAATCCAATCAAAGCCAAATTGCCACGATAGCTTCCTTCGCAGCTTTTCTTCCCAAGACGAGGAGGTGGGCTGCAAAATTAATTTGCTGCCCCAGAAAAGAGTTTCTATAGATCCAGGCAATTTTGTATAACCCAGGAGGCTTGGATCTTGCCTGGCCAGGAGATATCAAAACTGTCTGGCCCCTCTGGCTGCCAATTTACCTGCCTTTTCTTTCTCACCCAATGGGGCAAGGCAAGGCGGGACAAGGCTGGTAGGGATTTCTTACTGCCTGCTGGCTTGACAAAGGCAGGTGACTTGCTAGGACAAGGGAAGAACAGCAACAGGTGATCTAAAAGTTGAGAGGGAAAGGAGGGTTTTTAAGGTTAAGGTTGTCGGCAACCTTGAATGGCATCTCTAATGCTCTTTCCTTCCAGTCATACTGCACAGGGATTCTTATTTTTTACAAAGCCCAACACAGACTGTATTGAGGAAGGTGATGTTTTCAAAGCCTTCTTCTTCTTTTTCTTGTGCCACATCCATCATCGGATGATGGCAATCCTGTTTTTATCAACAGCCACACGAAAAAGTGCTCTGGAGTTTTGTCCAAACCAGTCTCTTAGATTTTGAAGCCATGTGTTCTTTTTCTGCCTTGACCTCGTTTGCCTTCTATTTTTCCTTGGAAGATTAAGTGAAGTATGCCATATTTTTCTGGGTGTCGCATCACGTGTCCAAAATATTCTAACTTTCTCTTTTTTATTGTTTTGATGATTTCCCTTGGCTTTCCCCAGTGGCTTTCAAAGTCTACACTGAAAAAATAATCAAAAAAAACACTGCATGTATTTAAGTAAAAAAAAAAAAACCAAAAAGTGAGTCTGTGAAGGAGACATCGAAAGTCACAGATTGTAGATGATGCTTAATTGGGAGATGGGGAAATTATCAAAAAGCAAACAGATGAAAGATTTTCATTATTTTTTAACCTCCTCCACCTCTCAAGATAAAGAAGACTCCATTTATAATGCAGCCAATAAAATGAACTAGATTTATACATGGTGACATATCTTTACAGCACTCAGCTCCTTGCTGTCGGCCATCAAACCTTAATGCCAGCCCTGCATAGTTCACGAAAAGCATTAAGGTAAAACTGTCACCTTTCCCCTTCTGCCATCACCACCACCACCCCATTTTCACTCCTATAAATATATTTATTATACTTTACTGTAAGGACAAGTTCTTCATGGAGCTGATGATTGTGGGCCTTGTACTGTTACATCTGTAACAGTAATTGGGTAGCCCTTAAGGCATCACAAGGAAACAAGAGCCAATGTCCCATCCACACACCATTCCCCCTGCCGAGAAAGCGTGCTCAGATGATGCTGTGAAGTTTGGAAGGCTGACCCCCAGCAGGAGGAAAGGTTATGCCAGTGGAGAAGCAAAGCAAAACAAAATTCTTTGCAGGTTGAGTCTCCCCTGTTCAAATCCACTCAAAATTGAACTGGCCTATTTACATTCTGGGTCTCCAGTCATGGATGGCAACAACATGCTTCCCAAGACTTTCTTTGGCATCTGCCAAGCAGCCTGTCCTAGTTTATTATATTTTTTAAAAATAGAGATGAGAGCTAAAGGTAAACATATGGCAATGGGTCTGCCTCAAGTCCATTTTGCATTTACATTGAAGTCCGGGTCAATCTCAGAGTCATTTTACAAGCACAAAATGATGGGCTTTGCCTCTTGGTTTGCAATAGTGACATATATCAGTAGCTCTGGTGTAGGATGAGGATGGAAGTTCATTCTCCGAGCTTGTGGGTTGGTTTCGAACGTTTTGTTACCAGGCTAGGTAACATCTTCAGTGAAATTTAGGAAATGTCAGTTTTGGTGTTTTAAATTCTGCTGAAGATGCTAGCCTGGTAAAGAAACATTCGGAAACCAACCCACAAGCCTGGAGAGCAAACCTCCAACCTTTGCCTCTTGGTACATGAGCAGCCCTCATGGCAGAGGTGGGTTTCAGCAGGTTCTGACCAGTTCTGGAGAACCGGTAGCGGAAATCGGTAAATACTACCTCTGACTGGCCCCGCCCCCATCTATTCTCTGCCTCCCGAGTGCCAGCTGATTAGGAGGAAATGGGGATTTTACAGTATTCTTCCCCTGGAGTGGGGAAGGAATGGAGATTTTACAGTATCCTTCCCCTGGAGTGGGGTGGGAATGGAGATTTTACAGTATCCTTCCCCTGCCACCACACCCACCAAGCCATGCCATGCCCACCAAACCATGCCCACAGAACTGGTAGTAAAAAAATTTGAAACCCACCACTGCCTCACGGCCAACTCCAAATGTGCTCATTGGCTCAAAAAGATTGTGGCTCCTCTATTCAAAGAATCCCACCGTTCCTCTTGATTTGCTGCAGCAAATCTTCAAAAGATGAAGGATGATTGGCCTGTGAACAAAGCCAGAATACCCCTTCAAAAGGATATTTCTGGCTCTGTTCACAGGCCAGCCATATTTGCATTCAGCAGATATCTTGCTTCCTGAAACTATCAGCCTTAACTTTGAAAGAAATGATGAAAAACAGACATCCAGTCCTCGTGGTTTCTGCATAGCCATATTGCTTGGTTGCATGGGTGTGCATGAGCGTGTCAAGGAGAGGCAAATGACAAAGTAGAATCATGGTGCCAGCTCTGCCCACTTTTCTACATGGTTGGATTTTGTGGACAAATCTGTGTACATTGTTTAAAGCCAAGGAAGTACCATTTTCAACTCAGGAGCATGCCTCTCATTTTGTTGCTTTCTCCATTTCCCCCTTTTCCTTTGTTTATTAATATATATGCATTAGAGGGAGGAAAACCATTAACATATAATGTTGCTAGAAGAGATTGACTACTCTTGTATCCCCCAAAATATAAACATCTGACTTGTCTCTAATGCAATTTATATTTATTCTTCCTATATTAGTTGAAATGCATGAGTTTAAGATTGTTACATTGTTAGGCACAGAAAGATGAGATGGAAGACAATCAGACATTCGTTCAGCCCTGTCTATTCTGAGACATTCAGAAAGAGAGTGAGAGAGAGGGAGGGAGGGAGGGAGAGAGAGAGAGGGAGAGAGAGAGATTGAACTATGCCCAGAAATTTAAATTTATTACAGCTAATGTCCATTTATCTAGAAAATAATATTCCATCTTAATAGATGTCATTATTTCATTTGATATGCCTGCATTTCAGAGTAGGTAAGGTTGA